ATAGCTACCACAAAGAATCCCATTAAGAAACCGTAATAAGAAACAACTAACTATGCACCGATTCTAAAATACAAGTTGTATACTTGTCATCGTATGAACTACCTATAATGCGGACGTGATTTGTGCATGACTCCAAGGTGACATACAAAACACACGCACGAAGTCGCAATTCATAGTCTTGTTTTGTCCCCTTGAATATTCAATGAACTGTTCGAGGCAACCAAATATCCGTATTGGAGCCTGTGGGCGAGAACTGGAACATTCACGAGGTCGCGTCACGTGATACGATATGCAGATTCCGGATGAGCTCGGTCGCTGCCTTATCGAAAAATACTGAATTGCATCGGCGTTGATCATTCATAACCGCAAAGCCTGATTTTTTGAACTACCATCTTCTTCGTGCTACCCGATGAGCTTACCACAAACCCCCACGCGAGTGGAGATCGAAAATTTAGCCAGCAAATCGTCCGCTTTAGAGTCTGCACTGAAAACAGTAACTAAGCGCATAATTGTCGATGAAATCGCAGAAGAAGATGACCAGACATATTTGTTGTCTGAGACTGAGAGCTCCGAAGAGTCGGATGACAGTTTTGAAGCTGAGTCTGACATATCCCTGGATCTTGAAAGCGAGTTCCTCGCTGAGCATTTGAGCAAAAACGTCGATCTTGTTGACGATGCTTGCATCGCACTCAAAGTCTCGGTGAACGAAACCGATCCTTCAGATCGCAAAAAGCAGAACTTGGTGCTGGCTTTCATGCTAAGACACGAAATTCCTCGCAAGGCCTTCCATTCTTCCATTGGCCTCGTGACTATTTATCTTTACACTTGTGGCTTTCTGCAGTACCAGATCGCCCGTCCGCTCTGGGCAATCTTCAGCGGCACATCGCTTTTCGAGTTGGTTCGCTTGAAGTCGTCTAGGGTTAATAATGCAATTTTGCCCTGGGTGGAATATTTGATTCGTGCACTGGAAAGAGATTCGTGCAACGGGATTGTGTTTTATCTTGCAGGTGTTTCGTTAGTGCTCAGTTTCGCCCCCAAAGATGTCGCAGTAGTCAGTATTCTTCTTTTGAGCTGGGCGGATACCGCGGCGTCAACTGTGGGAAGAGCCTGGGGAAAATACACGCCCAAAGTGGCCCAGGGGAAGTCTTTGGCTGGGTGTTTGGCAAGTTTCTTTGTGGGTGTACTTGTGTGTTACTTTTACTATGGATACCTTGTGCCAAAGTACCAAGTAGACAGCATTGGTGATAACTATTACTCTGAGTCCAGCAGCCACTTGAGCTTTCCTTATTATGCCTTCGCAACAGGACTCGTTACCTCGTTCTCGGAGGCTGTGAATGTGGCCGGCCTCGATGACAACTTCACTATTCCCGTCATAAGCTCCGTGGTTTTGTCTGGACTCATATATGCAAACCACACATAGCCCAAGATGTTTTGTCGGCTCATTGTATTACTAGGATGGACCTCATTCCTTTTTGAACCTGAAGGTGTAATTTT